GCAGAGCATCTGGCAGATTCGAACTGTGCTCCTCTAGGATTGCAGTGCAGCTTCTTGCCACTAGGCTACCAGAGCTCACCTGTGTTTTGAACTCTTTATGGTTCGGGAGAAATGATATTTTTCCTTCAGCATTTCATTCACACTTGTTTGGGGACTTTGACCCCCTCCCTCCTGGTGTTTACCGATTCCTGCCGTCCTCCTCTCCTGGCCTTTTCCTGCCTCTGGGCTTTCTCGCTGGGCAGGTGCTGCCCTCGCTTCTCGCCCCGCAGACCGTTCCTAGGAGTGCGCTCCTCCCTGGTGAACCAGTAGCCTCCTAGGCCTGCCCAATGTTTAGCTTCAAGTTGAGCCATGACAGGGCTAAAGTTCAGAGTTTGTTTCCAGGCAGTAGATTTGGGGGTTCCTTCAGCTTCAGCGAGCCCATCAAGTCTAGCTTACGAGAATGACATCGGTGTATTTCATCGACGCTCGGCACTTCCCCCCGGTTGCGTGACATCATGTTCTTCCAGTCTTGCGTCCACTCTCGCCCCCCTGTCCTCAGAGGTTCCTCCCCATGAGGGTCTCCTTTCTGGGGGTGAGACCGTGGAGGCTGGAAGCCCAGGGTGGCCACGGCTGCATGCAGAACGGGGGGCCGGCAGAGTGGAGAGGGTCTCCTGGGAGTGACTGGGCGGAACTGTGTGGAGTAGGATTCAGCTGGTGGAGGGCTGGCCATGCATGCAGAGGGCCTGAGCCATGGAACGGCCTCTGCCAAGGCCTGCCTGGTGCAGGCAGGCAATGTCCAGAGGGCTGGCAGCAGGAGGGAAGGGGAGATGTGGGCAGGGCACAAGACAGCAGGCCACAGCAGGCCCTGGGGTGTCTGGGGCAGGTGTGGGGAACATAAGCAGGGCTGGAGGCAAGTCAGAGACTGGCAGACGAAGATGACCTTGGCTTTGCTGTTCCAGGAGGAAGTGGGGCAGTGGTCCCAGCCAGGGTTCTGGGACCCAGGTTGACTTACTTCGTCCACATCACCGTTTTCTGTCTCTGTCCCCATCCGCACTTGACCCCTGAGGCCCTCCCTCCCGCACACAGCCCCCAGCTGTGATTCCAGGGCTGACAAGATGAGGCTGACCCCGTTTCCTGATGTGGAACTCGAGGTCCAGACCGTTCAAGGGCTGCTGGAGGCCAAAAAGCCGAGAAGCCCTGGGGTTTCTCCCGCTGCTGGGCTCTGGGGCACAGGCATGACTGGGGTGTGAGCGAGGCTGTGACTGTGATTCCCACAGGTTCAAGGGCGTGAAGAAGGGGGGCGTGACGGAGAACACATCCTACTACATCTTCACCCAGTGCCCCGACGGCGCCTTCGAGGCCTTCCCCGTGCACAACTGGTACAACTTCATGCCGCTGGCGCGACACCGCACGCTCACGGCCGAGGAGGCCGAGGAGGAGTGGGAGAGGAGGAACAAGGTCCTGAACCACTTCAGCATCATGCACCAGCGGCGGCTCAAGGACCAGGACCAGGACGAGGACGAGGAGGAGAAGAAGGAGAAGCGCAGCCGTAAGAAGGCCAGCGAGCTGCGCATCCACGACCTGGAGGACGACCTGGAGATATCCTCTGATGACAGCGAGGCCAGCAACGAGGAAGGCGGCAGAGGCCCCAAAGCCAAGAAGAAGGTGCCCGCCGCAAAGGGGGGCAGGAAGAAGAAGAAGAAGAAGGGCTCCGACGACGAGGCCTTCGAGGACAGTGACGACGGGGACTTTGAGGGCCAGGAGGTGGACTACATGTCGGACGGCTCCAGGTAAGACCTCGGGGCCCGGGGGTGACTCAGCCTGGCCCGGACACAGGGAGGCGCTCACTGGGGCCGTTCTGTCTCACAGCAGCTCCCAGGACGAGACTGAGGGCAAACCGCAAGTGACCCAGCAGGAGGAGGGGCCCAAGGGTAAGTGGAGGGCAGGGGGCTGCAGGAGGTCAGGCTCGAGGGTGGGTGTGAGGTTGGGGGGCTGCGGGAGGAAGAGGCCCAAGGGTAAGTGTGGGTGTGGGGGCTGCAGGAGGAGGGGTTCAAGGATGGGTGTGAGGTCGGGGGGCTGCGGGAGGAGGGGTTCAGGGATGGGTGTGAGGTCAGGGGGCTGCAGGAGGTCAGGCTCAAGGGTGGGTGTGAGGTCGGGGGGCTGCAGGACGTCAGGCTCAAGGGTGGGTGTGAGGT